CTATTGATGCACTCAACCGACATTGTAATAGTAAACCTTTGGACATGTTTATCGTGAAGCCAATTCGCTGACCCATTACCTTGCTAGTCTTGGTACAACCCAATTTACAAAATTTTCAAACTCTAAAACTTTACCAAATCAGGCCCCGAAAGTTTATTATGGTTAATCTGTTGCTATTGGGTCAGACCTAACCCCCAAGTTTTGCTTTTTGAGTATCTTTGTAATTCGAAGAGGTATGCCTCTTCTAGCTAGAGAGGTTTTGATATGTCACTTTCTCTTTTGCATTTCTTTCACTTTATTAATAAAACTTGACATTTGTTATTTGTATTTCTTTCACTTTATTAATAAATTCTAACAAATATTCCCCTACATTTCCCCCATTGAGGTGGTGTGCCTACCAAAATTATAACAAATTATGTGCGTGCTATATTGCTTGAAATATATACGAAGTATATTTTTTTATAAAAAATAAATTTGATGTACGGAACTTGAGATGCAGGGGCTCAAAATATGTGTATATTGTTAAAAAAAAGATGCCATATGAATTTAGTATAGAAATCAAACTTTTACTTGTATCTCAATTGTCAATCCAAATAAAAAGCACATTGTTTGGGGCAAACAACACATGCTACTTGAGCAAATATGAACTTGCATGCATTTTTGAAGGGAATGTAATACCGTTTTTATATATCACAAATCACAAATTTCAACTAGAAAAAGTTTTCAAAGTGTTAATCCATTCACAAATATAATTATTATAATCAAATATTTTTTTTACATACTAAACTAAGCTAAGTAATTGTGTTATTTGAGTAAATGATGAATTCGGAGTATATCGATACTTTAGTGTCATATGGTGTACAATTACATTTACATTTAAGGATGTTTTTACTTGGAATGGAATTTTCTGCAGGTCTGGTCTGATCTGAACTGGTCTGATCCGATAAGTGTCAGGTCTTTGTGTATTTTAGAACAGTTTTAGTAAAAACATCTTCACCACTCTGTATTTTAATACCAATCCATTAATACACAACACAACACTGGCCTAGTCCCTAGCCGTCTAAGATTAATGGGATATTACCCGAAAAAGGACTAAAAAGATTTGAAAATTCCAAAATAGGACTGACATGTTTTTATTCCCAAAATAGGACTAATTACTGTCATGTTTTGGCAGTACCAGACTTCAAACATGTCAGTATTTTCCAAACTTGGCAGTAATTACTCCTATTTTGGGAATAAAAAACATGACAGTCCTATTTTGGAATTTTCAAACTGTTTTAGTCATATTTCGAGAACTTATTAATTGCCATTAACACAATTGAAAAATAATAATCTAAAAGTAGATTAATCAATAAAAGAACTAAGAAAGGAAAGAGGGGAAGACTGTAAGAAGCTTCGAAGTCAGAAAGAAAGAGGGGAAGACCATGAGAAGCTTCGAAGTCCCAAGAATTAGAAAACTTGATTACGTGAAGATCAAATTGTACGTAGTCTGCAATTTGGTTAACGATCGTTCCCACAACTCCATCGCTTTCCGATGCTCTTGCAAGGTTAGCCTAGCCCACTAAGCCATCTCAAGATTTAGGCCTTTTGGTCTTCAGTAGATTCAGTAGGTCGATGGATGGATTTACATTTAGGCTATATTGCACGGAAACACGAAAATCATGAGGAAACGAGAAACAGAAAACATTAACTTTTACTCAAAAAAGGCTTCTTTTGAGAGTTTTCAGAAAGTTTCCGAAACACGAAACATACCATTTCCCGAAAGTTTTTGTGCTACATAGCATTTAGGAATTGAAATTTAATTAAAAGGTTTAATAGGTTTAATATACAGAGTATAATATTAATAGGTTTAATATAGAATTAGGAAGTCCCTGGAATTTGGGGGCCTTAAACACTTGTCTAGATGAAATGCCCCATGACCGGCCCCGGAGGTATGCCTCTTCTAGCTAGAGAGATTTTGATTTTGTATTTCTTTCACTTTATTAATAAAATCTAACAAATATTTTCCGACATTTGTCCTATTGAGGTGATGTGTCTACCTATATCTAAAATAAATATAATGTGTGAGTGCTATATTCAGAGGTGGATCTATTGAGGAAGGGGGTGTTAAATGTCCCACACCGGAAAACTTTAGATCAACAAAGTGCTATATTAAAACATGAGCTACTCCTCTTATGAGGTTGACCTTTTAGGATGGAACCCTGTATCTTAACATGTTATCAGAGCCAAACCGATCCATGATGTGGGGCCCCTTATGAATCGTGATGACACGATTATAAAAAAATGACAATTACGGCCGGATGAAAAAATACTGACCGATGAAAAATGAATGAATGATGACACGATCCAGACGAAGTGTCTGGTCGTGAGGAGTGGTGTTAAATGTCCCACACCGGAAAACTTTGGATGAACAAAGTGCTATATTAGGTTGACTTGAGCTATTCCTTCTATTAGGTTGACTTTTTAGGATTGAACCCCGTGTCTTAACAGAGGAAGCGGCCGCCCTCAATAAAACCTCACTAAATCCATGTAATATATTATTAGAAGTTTTTTGAAGTTTAGGTATATACTGCCCCCAATAAAAATTAATGGATGCCCCGTATAAAGCAAACCCGATCTCCTAACTAAATGATATGATACGGAGTAAAATGTGAATTTTAGATGCCAGGATATATAAGGCTTGAGATAGGAATAGTATTATTAATGCATAAGTTACTAATTACTCCGTAATAATTTATACTCGTATATTACTGGCACTAGATTTATAGTGACATTCAATACATTGTAAAAAATCAAAAGTTTCGGCCATGGCCATCACTATTTATTGTTTATGTGAAGAGTTACGTTAGCGACTTAGTGAAAAAGTCTTACATCTCATTTATTAATTTAGTTTATAATTGATGGTTTGTTAAGATCGTTAACATTATTAAGAAAATCTCATTTAGATAGTTAAATATAAAAATTCTAAATAATAAATTATTTTAAATAGTTAAATGAAATGTATAACGTATGATGGATCGTCGGACCAGGGGTGGCCGGAATCCACCGAGAATGAGAATAGAAGGGAGAGTGAACTGATCGGAAAGTGCAGATCGTAAATCGGCAAAGTCTCAGTGTATAAGCCTCAAGAGTGCAACAGATTAAGCATCTCTTTCCACAAGTTGGAAGGTGATATTTATACTAAGGAAAAAAGGGAAATACTTGGTGGCCAAGCAAAAGATGTTAGTCTAATGGGAGAGGGACACGTGTAAGGCTACTCTAACAAACTAACAGCCTAATTCGATGAGGAGAGGGACACGTGTAAAGTTGATTGGAGAGAGAGAACCTTTGATAGCTGGCTGATTGATTATTCTTCTAACAGAATTTCTGCCAGAAGTCTCATGTAGCAGCATGCGGATAATCTGCAGTGTTCCTTTGGTACAGTGGGTGACGTGGCAGTGTTTCCTTGCGAGATAAGTCCTTGCGGATTATATCTAAGTGCCTGATGCTCTATCCCGACCTTGGGGATAACTGAGGCCGATATCTGAGAACTTGGGCTCGTGTTCCTGCCTTAGAGGTAATTGACTGCCTGGTGCTTGACTACCGTTGACCAAATGTTTGACTTCCGAGGTCAGACCTGGTACCGACCTCAGGTGCATCGAGGTCGGGCTCATAACTTGCCGAGTTCGGTTGATTCCTGAGCCTGATGTTCTCCCGACCTTGGGGTCGGGGTCGGGACCGGTTGACTTCATTATCCGCTGAGTCTGGTTGGTTCCTGAGCTTGGTGTTTTTTCGACCTCGGCGGTCGGGGCCAGTCTCAGATTGTGGACTTGGTATTTTTGCGCCTTTGACGGACCCGCAACGCTTTCTACCGGCGATTATGATACCCATGGGGTATATGGGAATATACTCCATCAATGTATAACTAACTTAATATATACACTGTAATAATATAATGTTAATTTCACTTCTCATCCGATAGCTCAAATAGTAATATCTCTAATAGCGCTTCCCAATGAAAGCTATTAAAATTAACATTGACTTTGTAAGTTTTCACGGGAACCCTAGAGATCGAGTTGCCTCCTCACTATGTTTGAAGCTATTAAAAATATATCCCCTATGTTCCACAAAATAGTTTTCACTTTGACGTGGATCGGAGTTTTAGAAAGAGGGAATAACATGGAAATGTATGTTTGTGGTTGAGTAAGAAAAAAAGTAAATGAATAGTAGCCACACAAAAATTTCCAAAAAGGGAAATAGAAACTATTTGAGACATTGCAAAAAGGAAAGTGAAAACTATTTTATGGGTAGCTCAATTCTGATGCATTTTGTTAAAACAAAATAATACTAGTACTAGGTAACAAAGATTCTTGATAGGGGTATGACCGAACTGGATTGTTCTTCTTTTTTGGTTGTGTTTATTCAATCCAAAGTACTACCGCTGTCTCAATTTGATGTTCCTGGTTCCTATTCACTTGGTCAACACAAATCACTCTTAATGTTTTACTTTATATGTCCAAATTTTATCAGATTTGTTTTTTTCTTTTACGACTTTGTAAAACTTTTTATATAGTTTGTTAATACATAAATTTTATTTGGTACAAATAATTTGAGTAGAGATAAAGATCTGTTTGCTTCATCGTCGGTGAAGCACCGTAAACCACGATAGGAACATCAAATTGGGACATAGGGAGTATATACTTTTTATAAAAAAAATAAATTTGATGTACGGAAGTTGAGATGGAGTGGCTCAAAATATGTGTATATATTGTTATAAAAAAAGATGTCATATGAATTTGGTATAGAAACCAAACTTTTACTCGTATCTCAATTGTCAATCCAAATAAAAAGCTCACTGTTTGGGACAGACAGCACATGCTACTCGAGCAAATATGAACTTGCACGCATTTTTGAAGGGAATGTAATACCGTTTTTATAATACGATCTATATTTGAACCGGGCAGGTGTATGTGGGCGTTCACGTGTATATATATACACCCATACATCATTTCTTCTTCTTCAATTCATAAACAACAAACGCATATATATACGTACATAGATACAGTAAAGAGATAGAGAAAAGCAGAGGGCGGGCTAGCCGGCCAGGACATTCGATCAAAAAATGGCTACACAACACCCCCCTCGCTTAGAAGAAGATTGCCAGGGTTTTCTTAAACTCTACAGTGACGGTTCAATCTTCCGGTCCAATGAAGTCGTCCGGCACATCCCATTCCCGGTTTGCAACGACACTTCCGTCGTCTGGAAGGATTCCCTTTTCGACCAAACTCACGCCCTCCACCTCCGCCTATACAAGCCCCGCGCCGCCCCCGCCGCCAAGCTCCCTGTCGTGTTCTTCTTCCACGGCGGCGGCTTCTGCTTCGGCTCTCGCACGTGGCCCAACAACCACGCCACCTGCGTCCGCCTCTGCTCCGGCCTCGGGGCGCTCGTTGTGGCGCCGGACTACAGGCTCGCTCCGGAGCATCGGCTCCCCGCGGCCATGGACGATGCCTACGCCGCCGTGAAGTGGCTCTCCGGCCAGGCGCTGACCAGAAACCGTGATGCTTGGCTGGAAAACTTGATTGACTTCGATCGGGTGTTTGTCGTGGGCGACTCCTCCGGCGGCAACATTGCTCACCATTTGGCAGTTAGGCTTGCAGCCGGGGGCTCGCCGGAGTTGCTTCCCGTCCGAGTACGCGGCTATGTGATGATGGCACCGTTTTTTGGCGGGACCGTGAGGACCAAGTCTGAGGCCGAAGGCCCGCCGGAACCAACCTTGAATCTCGATATTCTCGACAGGTTCCAAGCTTTTTAATTTCACCCGTTTTACTTACACGTTTTTTATGCACAACAAAAACATCAACTTTACCTTTATAATAATTATTCATGATTTCTATATATATTACGGAGTAGTACGTAATTATATCATTCCTCAAAGTGCGTCAGGGCACGAAGACGTAAACAATTCTGCTTTCTCAGCTCCTCGTACTAAGAAATTAAAAGTGCATTAAATAAAAATAATGTACCGGGTAATATTTCCTCCGTTGTTAAACAAATGCAACCGTCAACATTTCACATTTGTCGAGACACAACTTTGAACATTAATATATATAATTACGTATTAGTAAAAAAAATTAAAAATTAGATTTTGAAAATTTACAATGAGACAAATTTAACAATATTTTTTTCATAAAAAAATATTAATACATTAACTAATAAAACTTAGTCAAAGTACAACATGTGAATAAAGTATATTTTAAATATAAGTTTTTCATAAATCAGTAGAATCGCCCAATCCACCAACTTCCGTCAGGACTTCATAAATTTAAGCAGAAACAGCTGATTCAGCCGATTTCACTGTTACCAAACGGACTCTTAATTAATAAAAGTTCATTTCACATCTGAAGTGTGCATGTGTGCCTACCGGCCGTCCATGCATTTTGGCACAACTTAAAAAGAAAAGTAATATACACAACCAAAATGAGACTAAGGGAATAATTAATTTATAAAAAATTTATGTCATAGAGCTCCGATCCTCCATCATTTTGTAGAGTCCGGGTGCGGCGGTGCCCGTGGTCGACCATTCCACCCGTTGAGGATTGGATTGGAGGCTACTTAAGCTAGGGCTAGTAATTAAGCATTATCAGATAAAAATAGAAACATTCCAAACTTTTAATAGGCCAGTAATTAAGCATTATTGAACCCCTGCAAGTATAGTAGGATTAGTAGCTGGCTAGCTAGTTCCCCAATTAGTAAACCTAAAAATATGGCCGCCAATTCAACGTTGTTATTAGTCTTGGTCGTGTGCGCTGATCTAATAATAATCGAGTCATGTGGATATTACTCACTCCTTCACTCAATATTTTTCTATGTTTGATCGACACGGGAAATAATAAAATAAAAATTGTGTGGTTGAGATATGTGAAGAGGAGAGAGAAACAAAACCACAAATTAATTAATTAAAAGGGGAAGTGACAAAATTTATAAGACATCGAAGAAAGGAAAGATAACAAAGTTACAAGGGACGAGGGAACACTATTACTCCGTACAATTGCAAGCTAAGGGAAGATCTAGTAACTCCATTATTAACGCACTTCCCTCAGAAAAAAAAAGGGATATTACCCGAAATAGGAGTAAAAAGGTTTCAAAATTCCAAAATAGGACTGACATGTTTTTATTCCCAAAATAGGACTAATTACTGCCATGTTTTGGCAGTACCAGACTTCAAACATGGCAGTATTTTCCAAGCTTGGCAGTAATTACCCCTATTTTGGGAATAAAAAACATGGCAGTCCTATTTTGGAATTTTCAAACTGTTTTAGTCCTATTTCGGGAACTTTCCCAAAAAAAAACTCACGCCTAAGCTAATTAAGGTCTTGCAATTATGTATTAAGAAAATCAATACATATTAATATTTATATCTAGCTAAACCGGTCATTTTTTGTAACAAGCTTTCTTTAGTTTTTAATCTAGTTTAACAGAATATGTGGTTGTATCAAGCTTTATTTTACATTTAGTTTTTCAGAATAAGACCTAAATAGGATAGATATCTCTAATTTAGTTTGGGCGACCTGTGATCGAATTAGGCATAAAGATTACAGTTTAATGATGCGCGATTACCGCGATAATATATTTCTCGCAAAACACCAACTCCTTACCGAGACAGGGCTTTTTGTTTCATAATATCACATCCTTTAATTTCATAAGTGGTCGAATATCAAACAAAAAAATAATGAATTTCTGGTTAAATAGAGCATGCTTGATAACACTGAAATGAGCTAAATTTGCTTAAATAATGAATTTCTGGTTGGAGTGACTGAATTTCCTGAATATTAAAAAAGAGTTATATTTAAAATATATTTAAGAAAGAAATAAATTTAGTCAATTCACGGGAGTGACTTTAATCTAATTAACTTATATTGATTATTATATAATTTAGTGTGTAAAATCAAAAGCTGCATACTTCGTATTTAATAAAAATTGACTCATAAGTCTGATAAGTTTAAAAGAGGATTACATTTGTATGCGAGATTTGAGAATACACAACATAGATTTAGGAGTGTATGCAAATGATTTTTCTTAAAACACTTTTTAATGTAATTTTGGAAAAGTGATTAAAATAAAAATTGACAGTATTTGATAAAAATTTGATTTTGAAAGGTAAATTTGGAGGGATTGGCCCCCCAATATATATTTGTAGTATACATTTTTATTAGTTAAAAGTATACTTCATGGATATTAACATATTAAATTTTGGTCCATGCAAATTAATCGCTTTAAACTCCGAGCCATTTAGATTATATTTTTGACTCGGCAAGTGTCTTTTCTTATACTCCGTACTAGGTATTAAGTATGGAGTAAGATATTTGACGAATGGTGGCGTCTCACATGCACATGGTGAATATGTATAGCCTGTAAAGTCATTAATTAATTAATTAATTAATTAGCAAGGGTCATTATCAAGATAAAGTGGACAAAAGTATACTAGCTATCTGAGAAAAAGTGAATATGGGCCTTCTAGCTAGGACATATATTTACTTAATTAAGTCAAATTCTCTCTCCGTAACACTTAAATACAGTGAATTGCACTTGATTAAAGTTTAATACGTACTCCGTAGTATATTTGAACAACAACATTGCTATAGGTACCCCATTTTGTACCTCAATTTGTACCTCAACCTATTTGTGTGGCTCACAATAGCCCACTTCAATAAATGAATTGCTCCACTTTAATGAGTTGCTTTTGTGAGCCACAAAAATAGGGTGGGGGTACAAATTGGGGTACAAATTGGGGTACCTTTATCATTTTTGTTTGAACAAAGGACGACGACTACAGATCCAAACACCCCCATATTCTTCATCGATCGATAGATCCTTGCGTGTTGCTGGAAACTCCGCGTGTACATTTGCAGCCACGACATTCCATTATGTATTGTATAAATAAACAGCAGGCACGAAAGGTACGGTGTAGCAAATAAAACATCAACGTCGTGAAAAGATCACAATTCTATCCAACAACTAACCCACTTTGGAATTAATTGCCATCAACCTCGTTGATCAATTCTCTCATACCTTTTGTGTCGAATTAGATCCAGCAAATGGCAACAGTTTACTTTACCTAAGAAATATAAATTTTAATTGGACACCCCCCACAATTAATTGCACGTGAACATTTTCTTTTACTCAATTAATTGCAGATTAAATTGAGACAAAAATAGAGGGCAAATGCAATGGCAAAAGAAAAAAAATGGAAAATAGAGGGAAAAATAAGTGAATGCATGTAGCCCCGTTACATTCTATTTTAATTTGTCACTGAGTGCAACCAAAGGTCCATAGATGAACTTGTGTTAGACCCCATTCCACTTTATGATTTGTCACCTCAGCTACACCTAATTTTTTTTTTTTTTTTTTTAAACCCGGAAGGCAAACCACCCATCGGTGGGGCAAATGCCGGGGAACATTTGCCATAATTTATTAAAAAAGGAAAAGTTACAGAAAGAGAGGGGGACTAGGCCAAAAAACCTCTCCTGAAGAGGCATTCCTCTTCCAAGTACATGAGAAGACAATTTAGAAAAACATAAAAGATCATTTAGGGGGATCAAACCTTACCCAAATGAAAATACATGACAGAGAGAATAAAAATACACATAGAAACTAATAACGAAAAGCAGGTATACCAAAAAAGTCCATGAAATAGGCCCTTCTAGAGAAAATAGGAAGAGAAGACGGGCTATCAAAAATTTTAAACGGGCCCGAATGAGATCCAGCAAGATAATTAACATATTCTTTTTTGCATGGGAGAAGACAGACACATTCATCAATTGCCTCTGCCGAGGTAGAATAACGATTCACCTTAGCCATGGAGATACCCCAATGGGTAATGTACATGTGGAACTGCGACCTCACTCGGTCTTTAACCTCATCCCAAATTTAATAAATTTTGTACGTATCAATTATATAATCTCACTTTTTATAATAAGTGTGACAATTTTTCAATTAAATCCTAATCTTAGTGGATGGGATGGAAGGGAGATATACTATCATTCAATTGGGCTGAATCTGCTCAAAAGCAAAACAATAGAGACGCCAGGTCCACTCATGTCAATTGTCATTGGAAAGTGGGTAGGACAATATTCCTAAAACGTTTAGAAGTTGTGGACTCATCTCTCTGCATTTGCGAGGCAACCACATCCTTTGATTTATACTTATGTTCTACCGACCGTAAACTTTAAGGGTGTCATGTCAATTTTATGCTTCGCCGAAATTCTTCCTAATCATTTGTGGAAATGCTGGCAAGTTCAGTTTTGCTTTCACATCTTTTCTTTGTAATCAAATCCTTAAATACAAATTTAATTAAAGCACTATCTTTTCGAAAGATAATTTCGTTGACAGCGATGGCACAGAATTGTTGTGCTGCGGAATGAATATGGCTCCTCTCCAGTGACTGGATTCTTCCAGTAGGAGAGATATAGAGCTGAGAGGAGTGGGAAAATGGTGGGGTAGGGAAAAATAAAAAATGGTATTTAATTATTTTTTGTAAGGAGAGAGATAGAGTGAAAAAGAAATGGAGAGAGTAAATGGAGAGAAGAAAATGGAGAGGAGTATGACTCCTGCGGAATGGCCTTCATGTACTTCCTAATTTTTTACAGCTATACTTTCTCGAACACATTTTTTTGTACATATCTATTTGCGGACAAGTTATATTTTATCTATGAATGGATTGTTCATCCACAAAATATGTTTTGTCTGCGAACAAACTATTCATAGATAAAAAAGTAGCATGTTCACACATGTTGTACATGTATAAAAAATGTTTACAAATGATGTTTTTCATATTTTTATACATTCATTTGTGGACCACGGTGCATGTTCTTAGGTTTTTTTAGGTTGATTGTTTTCGGTCTCATAACAAAATAAATTAAACCAAATTTAAATAACTAGACTACACAAGATTTAAACAGACTAGACAGCCGGCCTTGAAGTTATAAACTGATGTTTTTTTTACCAATTCAATATCACTAATTAAAGATGGCAACCGACTCTATGTCACTAGCGACGTACAGTCGTGCAGTATTAAATAGTAAATAGTATTGTGCTTTTAACGTTTACTATAACTCAGTGTATATTTTCCCGTGTTTAAAAAAATATACTAGTACATAATACATACGGAGTATTTTATGAACATACTTCGGCACTTCTTTTTATTCAACATCCAGTTTTCATATATGTATACTTCGCATTTACAAATCTTTAAAAGATAAATGAACATTAACTTTTTTGATGTCATTTCATACTTCTTCTATTTAGGTGAATTCTACCATACTTATAAAAAAAATGGGGATATCATACCTCTATTATGCATTTGATGAGTCTAAACCTATATTATTTCGTTATATTTAAGCAATTCAATTGCGATATTATCATTAGTCCATTGCACAGGGTATTGTGTCTTGATGATATATATCATATAATTTGTCTTTCTTTTTGTTCACATGCATGTCCGTTGAAAAAGGCCCCCCTTACGCTTAAGAAGTTTGTTATTAAAACGGAAAATATGTGATTTGAATCTATGCATAAAACTGTATGCGCTTCTTTGTCATGAAGCAGCAGTCAGTCCATACAATTTATGACGCAATTTTCACTATGGGTCATCCGAAAAAAATTTTTCTGAACTTTAGTACAGAGGTAAGGCTGCGTACATCCGACCCCCCCTTATCCCACCGTAGGTGGGAGCCTTTGCGGCACTGGGGTAATGACGATGATGAAATACGTAGTATGTCCTCATGGACCCTACTCCCTTAAAAGAAATTGATCAAATAAGAGGAATGCAAAAGAAATGTAACAATTTCGAGCAATGGAAAAGCTACTACTAATAATTTTATTTGTACTCTATTAAGCATATGATTAAACCAAGTAAATACTATACAGACGAGAGGCATTTACAACGAGTCTATTCTTCGTGTCGTTATCTGTGACTTTTAAGTCTTTTAGCTTTTTATTATTGGAAAGTAATACGTAGAAATGGTCCTCGACTTGACTTTATGGGCGCACCCAACCTTTTTATTTGTTTGAGATAACCCAATAAGTACGCGATTCTTTTTCTACTCATCATGGGACTCAATTTGACATAGATCTATTTTAAGCCGTGTCTGTGGAGAATAAAGAGAATATATGGGTTAAAATGATTATGAAATGTGTGTTTTATGCTTTTCATTTAAAGTCTAAATAGTGTCATTAAAATTAAGCATCAAGTATTGCAAGCAATCAATGGAAAAATGTGCTTCGAAAGTTCCAAGTGATTTGCACTTTCCACGTAACGTGATAGGAGTACCAAATATTACGATAAGAATTGCCTTTTCACTTTGTCAAAAAACAAAAAGAATTGCCCTTTCACTACATATTTAAATTTTCACTTTGTAATTTTTTCTTTTCAAATACGTAGTATTATTATTTCTCATCATTAAACACTTTCAATAATTTGAAAAACAACAGTTTTAAGCGGTCAAAGGGTATCTACAGTAACTCGCTTTATAGATTGCAACTTCATTTGCCATGTCAGCTATTTTTGACCAACTCATTTTGCACCTATGTGATAATATTGCAATACTTAGCTATAATGCTTACTTGCCAAATAGGCCTCACAATTCAACCAACTTTGCAAGTATACATTTTTAATGAATTAATTTTTTAATACAACAAAAATAGTACTCCGTACTTATTTTGATATAATTTTAAATTGAGAAAATTTCATTGATATTATTAAATTAATAAATAATCTGTTTTATTATTATTATATCGGTGATAATATGAGGACATATTTTTAAAATATGTACAAAACATATGTATTTTGTTAAGTTAAAAAAAGGAATTGTTCACAACGCATGGAAACTGAAAAATATCAACTTGTAAAAACAAAGGACCTGTTTACTAACAAAAATATTTTCCATTTTTCTGTTTCTGTTTTTCGTTCTCCAATTTTTTATTTTCATTTTCCAGTTTTTCTATCTCCAATTTGCATTTTTCATTTTTTAGTTTTTCATTTTCAAATCTGAAAAACATTTTCATCAATTTTTTTCACCTGGTTCTGTGACCAACTTGAAGACCAAAACTATGGTCCCAGTTTGGAACCGAACCTACTACAACCCAAGTAAGGTACCAGGTCCCACATATAGGAAAGTCAGGATCGAAACTGACCGGTCCCGGTCGATATCAACGGTTAGTTTGATGGATTCTTTTCCCATTTCTCTATTGGTTGACAACTCAACGGCTCTTTTAAAATTAACAAAGCAAGTGTTGGGGCTTAACCGTCGCATTTCAATACTCTAGGTTTACAATTGAATTTTAATTAATTTAATATATTAATTACCCAATGAATTACATATGGTAATTACCATTTTAGTTCAAACTTGTGTTCATTACAACAAAGTGATTTGTATTGGCTAATTTGCTTGCCCAAGTTAGGAGGAAAAATGCATTCCAATGGTAGGCTGGCTAATAACGAAGTCTCATATTTTTAAAAATGGCAAGAAAGCCAAGTCTCAAGTAAAATTTGAAGGTTTAATTAATTATTGGTAGATTCTGGGTAGATACCATACCTTTGTCCACATGGACCAATAGGAATGATGCAGTTGAGTTAATTAAATCTAAATTAAAAGGAATAGAACGATTTGGACCAATCAAATGCATGGTAGGTATGCCGGAGTTGTCACCTTAATTATCATGTTAATGAGTTGCACATGCATACATGCAGATTTTGGAGGCTGTCACTGCCGGTGGGAAAAAATGCTGACCATCCATTGGCAAACCCTTTCGGACCGGAAAGCCCGAGACTGGAGGGTGTGAAGCTGGAGCCAATCCTGGTGATGGTGGGGGGCAGTGAGGTGCTGAAGGACAGGGCGGAGAAGTACGCGGCGAGGTTGAAAGGGATGAAGAAGAGAGTGGAGTGGGTGGTGTTCCCGGGCATGCATCACGGCTTCTTCACCAATGACCCTTTCCATCATCACCTCTCCGACCACGTCCTCCACAAACTCATTCATTTCATCTCCCACCTCTAATCATATACTACGTACATGCATTAAATATCATGCCAAACTAAGCATACAATAAATTCATATCATGCATTTATGTACTCAGCTCGCGCGGATCGTAATAACACGCACGTACTAGCTATACGCATGTATGTACTAGCAGGCAGCTTCAATTTGGGTTTGTATTGTAGGTAGTGTGATATCCTCCTATCACACGTACGTTGTATTATATTGTGCGTAATCATTTTGTAACTAAGTATTGTATGTAAACAATAATAATGTAATTAATTTATATGGTACACCAAGTTGTACCAAGAGCATGATACAAGCTAGTGTATAATCGACATTTTTGTAATTAATTTCAATTCACTGGGTATTAGTTACATCTATCGGAATAGCTACGTCTCAAAAACTCACGAAAACCAAAGCTAAGGCAGTGTATAATCTGCTACGTCTATCGGAATAGCTACGTCTCAAAAACTGACGAAACGAAAACCAAGTGTATAATCGACATTAGGTTGTCTGCAAATCTAATCCCGAAATCGGAGAAGAAAAACCGCGACTTGCGTGCGCGGGCGACCTGCGGACACGAATGTCGTCCAAAAATTTATCCCTCAAGAGATACGGTTTCGCAGTTGACAGAAGTGCTCGGCAGAACGGCTCTTCTTTCCGCAGCAGAAGTGCTCGGCAGAAGAAGACCTCCGAACAGAACACCTAATGGGGTTCTGGTCACTCCGGGACCAAAACACCTAGGGGTGTTCTGCCCGCGCACCTGAGCCGTTACGGATTTTATTGTCCACCATTCTTATCTTTTAATGCTTCTTTGAATGGACAGTTTTACGACATTAATGCCCAACATGCTGGTCATTTATGTCCAACGTTCAGATCCATTAAAGGCCAGTTAACACACCACAAATCCTCCTATAAATTTTCTAGTAGGTGGTTTACAACGATATACCTTCACAAACGAACTCACGTATTTTTGAGCTCTGAAAACACCTCTAGCACTCCGAAAAATTCCTCTGTGTTCTTGCTTTGTTTCCATTCGCTGGAACTTTCGTTTGTGTGCTCAAACGATTGTTCGTTGTAAATTCTGCTCCATCTTATTTCTGTTTTTCTTTCATCATTTTAATTACTTTAATTTAATTAATTTTCTTTATTTTCCGAAACACACCCTACAATATAAATATTTCAAACCTTACCAACCTAAGTATAAAATAAATTCATAACATTCATTTATCTACTCATAATAACACATACGGAGTACTCTCAGGGACGGAGCTACTCTCATGGTTGAGGGGGCCATGGCCCCTCCCAACTTTTTGTTTTTTAACTAATAGTACTATAATATTTTCTATTGCCCCTCTCCAAATATTATTAGGCACAACTCTGGGAAGAAAATACCAGGTGTAAACGGCAGAGTATACGGGAAGAATAATAGTACATGCACATCATTTATCTTGGAAATTACAAGGGTATATATACGGGTTTTAATAAAATCTTACAACTTTCTTCTTTTAACTTTTAACATTATTAAAATTTATTAACATGCAAGTTGGTCAAGTTAGGTTGCTGGATTTACCTCAGATTTTGCAAAACTAATTGAATTGGTAAATTTGTTAATTCGTTATCAATTCAATTAACAATTAATAATTAACATGATATAAAACTCAGGTGAATAGTCTTAATTAATTAAGTGGTTATGTGACTATTTATTTTCGGGTTTTTTATAAGAATATTACTAAAATAAAACTTATTAACATAAATATGACTATTCATTACTACAACGTGGTGTTGTAGTAACTTAAGTTCAAAACTTGAACATGAATTACTATGATTTCGTTACTACTCTAGTAACTAATCATATTTTTGTAAATCATCTATATTTTCGTTTACTATTGTTTTTACCTAGCATTTTAGTCTATACTAGTTCGACCTATAAATTATTTATGTGACTTTTTTTTACGTAGATGAAAAGTCATAAAATATTCATGCACTCTTTAAATTAAAAGTAAGCATTCTAAAAAGTTTTAAATCTTAGACTAATCTTTAATTAAACACCGATCCTTTGAAATCCGAGATTCGTGACATGCAAAAGAGGCGTTTTAAATTTAAATGCTTTGGCTATTTAGTATTGTACATTTTAGTTATTATAAATAAATAGTAGTAATGTTAATATGATATTTTCAAATTTTATATTTATATTTTTATGCTTACCTGTATATTATATTCTGGCCCCCCTTTACACTAAAGTCTGGCTCCGCCCCTGAGTACTCTACATACGCACGGGGAGAAAACTTCAATTTATGTTTGTATAATTGTATTGTGTAATCTCATCCTATCACAATTTTTATCGTTAATTTCTTTAATTGCAAAACATGTAATCATTTTGTATTTAAGTATTGTGTTGTATTTAATTAATTAATTAATAATTAATTTCTATCCATCCATCCATCTATCCATCCATCAATCCATCCATCCATCGATCCATCAATCGATCCATCGATCGATCCATCCGTCCGTCCGTCCACCCGTTCGTCCGTCCACCCGTCCACCCACCCATCCATCCCTCCATCCGTCCGTCCGTCCGTCCATCCGTCCGTCCATCCATCCGCCCGTCCATCCATCCATCTTCTATCTATAATACAATTAAAAGATACCATTTAAGAAACTTTTGTCACATGTCATCTTTTCAACAATTCTATTCCACCACAATTTAGATTACTCCCTTATCTGTATATTATTGTACATTTGTATATCTCCCACGTATGTGGACTCCTTATTAAACTCCTTGGTCGATTATACTCTATGGTATATATTAGGGCCCCACAAAATAAAATCACATGTTTATTTTAAAGTACTAAACTTTTTTATTTGTACTCTAATTGTTACAAAAATTATAACTTTTTATTTTATTTCATATGACACTGCACCAATATTGTGTATGTAGAATAAAAAATAATTTAACTTTAAAAAATGCGATTTTAAATTTTTATATCTTTTTTGAGTCCACTAGGTACACGAGCTCATCATCATCTCTTATAGTATATAGGAGGTTAACACATTTTTGTTTTTACAAATTCGATTGGTAGCCCTGGAGTCTACCACCCACTCATTGACATCATTAATTTTACAACTTTGAGAAACAATTACAATGAAAATATCATCAATAGTAATCAAATTTAAACTTAATTTTTGTGGATTGTTGTTTTTTATAGTTGCCATTTTACCACTAAATAAAAGAATAACACTTTTCTTAAAAAGTTGCGTTGGTTATGTAAATAAACTGATTTGGGAAAGAATAATGTTGGTCCCAGTTATGGAGGTAACAGTCTAGAGGGAGGGGGGGGGGGGGTGAATAGACTATTATGGTTTTTAACTTTTTCAAGTTAAGTACCAAGGTTTAGCAGAATAGCCTGTTCTATTGAGAACAGACCGACAACCGAGGTCTTTTGGTAGGGGTTCTGTCGGGATAGCCTCACAGAGGTGCAAAGGCAGTAGGCCTTCTGTTAACTCTTAAGAGGTGTTCTGCTGAACACATATACCACTTCTTTGTAGTTAATCAGTTACAAATATAAAAGCAATAAGTAGATGACACAGGGGTTTTTATAGTGGTTCAAGGAACAACTTGTTCCTCTAATCCACTGTTCCACTAAGCTTGTAATAAACCAATTACAATACTTTAGTCCTAGCACTTAAGAAGCTCTCCACGTCTTCTTTAAGTGTAGATGTCTTCTGGGATGCACTTCCTTGCTTCCTGTAAGACTGGTCTTGTTTCACTGAGTGTCCTTGAAGTATCACCAATTCACTACTCCAGCTACTTTAAGATGTCCTTCTTTGCAGAAGATGTTCTGTAGAAGAACCGAGTTTTTCTCCAACTTGCTTCGTCACAAAAGATTTGTAAATGAAGTGCTTGAAGTTGTTTAAGAACTGGAGGAACTTTGCTCTTGTTGGGGTAGAAGGATATATGAAATTATGATCTTTCCAACGTACACTTTTTCTTGTAGATGAAGTTGGAGTTTAAATCTCAAGATAGCTTTGTGAAGATGTAGAGTGAGCAAAAGTTGTTCGGTTGTTCTTCATCATGTATCTTTTATACTAGGGTTGTCTTCCCGTTAGAGGAGGAGACAACTGCATTGAATGCGCGTACTGTTGAGTTGACCGGTCGGGGCCCTCAAGTTTGGCAGCTTGCTATTTTGGGATAGGCTTTCCAGGAATCTCGATCAATCATTAGCTTTAACTCTTCAGAGTGTAGAGCTCATTAAATGAGCATTTAATTCTATCCTGTAGCATTTCCGTTGAGTGACTCCTAGCCGTTGGGGGAATCTTCCGTTGAGTACTTCGGCGAGGTAGTTTGTAAAAACTCTAAGTGTTTGGTCTTCTGATGAGTTGAATTGAGAACCAGTCACAGAGGGCCTTGAGCTCTTCTGTTCAATAGAAGTCCAACAGAGAGGCAATGGCACTTCTGTCAGGTATGCAACGAACAGAGGGCCTGCAGGTCTTCTGTTAGTCGACTATACTAGAAAGCTTACACTTAGAAAAATTCTAATACATCAATTCCAATGGGGGTACACTAATGTTCTAATTAATCTAGCATCATTAAAATCTAAAAACATTTATTCCTTACAATTTCCCCCTTTTTGATAATGCCAAAACCCTTATTCTACTTTCAGAGAAGTGCCTTTCACCAATAACATAATTAAGTTAAAACTTTTAAATTTTTCATTCCTGGTGGTCATCCTTCATAGAAAGCAGTAAGAGTTTGTAAAAAAAACATGTACAAAGCAATAAGGTAAGAAAAAAAAATTTAAAAGTAATGATAAGAAGCAATCAGAAGACTTTATTGAGCAGAGGAGTTAAGAGAAGTACAGAGATGTTCAATTACAAATTTTCTCCCAGAGCTGCTCTTAAAGCTATTGCTTCTCTTTCATCATAAGCCTTGAGCTGCGCATTCACTTTGGCTCTTATTACAGCCAGATGTTGATATGCACTAATTAGTAGTGCATAAGTGTATGTTTTTATGTTTGATTTGTGTGTATTATTTATCGTTTTATTTAGTTTGTAAACATTTGTGTGATTTTAGTTGTAATTGTATTTTAATCTTCATTTATAAGGTGTAAAATAGATTTAGGATTTATGGTGTTGGAAAAGAGGACTTTGAAGAGAATAAAACAAGAAATTTGACTGCCCAGGAGCAAAACCCGACCGGGTAGAAATCCCCACCCGGTCGGGTAAGATTTAACAACCGAAGAAGCAAGGAAATTGCCAGACCCGGTCGGGTCCCCTACTTGACCCGGTCGGGTCAGATGTGACCCGGAACACCAGGACATGCCGAAGATCGCCAGAACGTGGGAAATATTTGATTTTGACATTTACCCGGT